AGTAATCACAACATGACAAGAATCAAGGCAAAGATCGTAAATCATTACAAATTCTATCATTCAAGTGGACTTAATATTTATGTCTAAATGAACGTAGGCAGAGATATATGATGTAGCTTTGCTATTTTAATTCTCAAAGTAATTCTTAGTTTTCGTGTTGCGTTGCGATCGTAACAAAACCAATACTAATAGGCCTAGTAATATGTCAAACTGACCAAAAATGGCCGAAGAAACAGTGTGATTTAATTGTGGGTGGATTAGAGGCAAGGTGGGACAGGGTAGGGATGTTTAATTTCAAAATGGCATGGGCTTAGTGACCGACGTTTCTGCAGTGTCTCTTACCATCTTTTGTAAGAGAACGCTAACTACGTCTTTACTTGGCCGAAGTTAGATATAGACTGACGAAAGCTGAAGTTGACGTCATTGAAAGGGGGTTAAGGTGACACGCGCGAACAAGTATTACGTCACATCCGGAAATATGCAAGATGGCTGCCGTTGTCAATTTTTTTATGCAAATCTTGACTCTGACATATGAAAAATATCAAATTACAATAAATTATGAATGTAAAATCTGCTAATATGTAAATAAATCAATTAGTTTCATTCAGACACAACTATTTGATGAATTGAGAATGTCTGACACATTAATAATGTCACGTTTGGTGAGTTTTTCTGCCGCGAAGCGTGGTGTGTTTAAAATGCCAACTTCGTGCACAATAGTTAAACAATCGAGGGAGGACTTGAGTCTTGCGTTGATGGCTCTGTTCATTACATCAGACCCTTTCATAGACTGACAGCCAAAGCTTTACATATCACCATACAATACTTTGTTTATCATGTGTAAGTATTTCGACAATGTTAGGTACATGTTCTCACGACTCAGTCTATTTATAAATTATGATATTTCTTGAATTAACGTTATCTCTTTATATAAATTGCATGGTCTAATACAGATAGATTTTAATGAGACTAAATACTATAACCTTTTGAAACACGACCCTTTATAAAAATATTAAGTGATACATGTATCGAATATACCTTTTATAAAGTATTAAATACATGACGATTTTTATTTACTGATAATATTTTGTTAATTTATCAGGTTCATTTTCAAGTCAAGAAGTACATTTTTATTGCAGCGTCAATTGTGCAGTTTTTGTTATATCCTAGCAAATCTATTTCTAATCGTATACATTTTAGTAACGTCAATTGTGCGTTGTGATTTTGACTAGATTTTCTGTATTTCTTGGTGAATCTTAATCTGGTAGTGTTACCAGATATTATAACAGTGTAATAGACAGTTCCTGTTGAATATTATCTTTCTATTCTAGGCCATGTTAAAAAATAAATATCCTAAATCCTGGACCATCAAACAACTATACCGATTCTATACAGTATCTAAAACAACTACTAGTGTAACTATACATATTGATACAGTATCTAAGCAAAGAGATGATGATATTTCTGTTTTTAGATAAAAGAAGTATATATTTTTATTTTACAGATAAGTGAAGTATACTTTACATTTCTGTCGTTAGAACCTGAAGTATCTGGTAACTATAAAATAATAGAAGGTAATACAGTAGAGTTAAAGTGTATTGTAACTGATGCTAATCCTAATGGTACTTTGAGTTATAAATGGTATAAAGATACAACAAACTAGTACGGGAACTGATGATACGGATGTTACAGTCTTATGTAAAAATTGTTTCTCACTACATACTATGCAATATATTACCTCTAAGAAATGTTCTATGTGCTCTGGACCGATTTTTGTACAAATATACTACATAATTGAAATTGGAATTGGTGCATCTACTAGCAGGATAGATATTATTAAATCAGACAAACTGGTTATTAATTGTTCCGCTATCCAGACTAAGCCAGACCATGCAAGTATAAACTGGTATAAACAGTATTGAGATCAAGGCGGTATTTATAGTTGTAATTCTAGTAAAGTAATGAAACCACCAATTGGTACAACTAAAACTAACAGTTATATTGTTTAAATAATTTCGTATTGTTGCAAGGTATAGTTTCTTGAAGAGAATAAAGCTGCATCTCCTCAATAACTACAATCCTTCATAAAACATATAATGTCAAAAGCTATAGTGAAAATCGATTATGAGTTGATCTTTCACAAACACCCTACTAAGTGTTTTACGTCTCACATATTACTGTACCTTATTTTGCTCCACAAATATATCGTTTTTCTTGCTTAAAGGTTTTTATTTCATTACAGGACAATGTCAAAAATCAGAAACAACTTAAGTATGTTATTTTTATTAAAAACAATTTAGAAACGATTTTATTATCATTGCAACATATCTTTGTGAACAAAATTTATACGCCCACATGAAGAATCGAAGAATATAGTTATTGCCCTTGTTCTTGAAAACGCGTTCAATTATTAGCTCATTAACACTATTATGGAATAGGTCTATCCATATCGGTTAATTGTGGTCTAAAAATGTTATTGTATTGAAGGGAAGTAACCCAATTATTGTTTTAGTTTATTAGCCAATCAGTGATTTGCCCAATTGTAGCTACCCCTGTGGAGATTAATAAAATGTCTACATAAAAATGACCACGTTTTCTTTTAAATCGACGAATATCCCAATTTGTCAAGAGGTGGCTGTAATATTGTTCGCCTCAGATGGTGAATTATACGCCACAGATGGTGGAGATGTAAACAGTTTGATCCTGTGTATTTCTACAAGATTTTAATGAAGTAAAATCACTGTCAAAACCGTAAGATGCCACATTTTAATATTGAACCGTTCTATGGACTTCCATCAGAAGACGCCCGCACCTGGCTTCAACGATTTCAAGCATGGACAGATATTCAACGAATCCCTGACGAAAGTTTTGGTTCTGCAATGCTTCTTCAACTTCAAGGACCCGCTGTTATATGGTTGAATAATTTGCCTCCACAATTAGTCCACAGTAAACCAAGATTAGTTCATGAATTTAAGTATCATTTCATAGACTCACGGCCTAACAATTGGTTATTAGAGCAACAACTGTATGAAAGAGTTATGCTACCAGGTGAAAATATTGAAAACTATATTATTGACATTGAAGCAAAATGTACTAGACTCAATAAAACAGAAACAGAAATGATTCCAGCTTTCATACGAGGTCTAACTCCATCTTTACGTGCAAGCGTTATACAGAAACAACCAACTACATTTTTAGATGCTGTTCCTTATTGTCGCTTAGTGGATCAGTCATGTTCATTGGTGCCACACCCACAACAAAGACAGTCTACAAATATGTCAGATGTTATGTTTGAACTTCACTCACTAAAATCGAAAGTAGAAGAACTAAGCCTTAAGCCTACTTCCAGTTCCAGTACAAATAAAGACACATCTACAGAATATTTTGAAGCAAACCTTGCTGCTGTTCAACAAAAGACAGTTATATGCCAACTTTGTAACAAGAAAGGTCATACAGCAAAGAAGTGCTACAGCCTAAAACAGTCAACTACCAAAGATGATAAGTCAACATGTGATCCAGTCATATGTCACAAATGTCATGGTCCAAATCATTATGCAAAATATTGTTTATTTGAGGATGAATCAGTTTCACAATCGGAAAACTAGAAAGTTCTAGCAATCCCCTGTCCTCTATTGTTAGAACAGACTTAGAAATTTTTCAAATATTGCTATAGTTAAAAGTAATGCTCACTTATTAGGAAATTTTATACCTGTCATTATATGTAACCTTAATTTACATGCCTTGTTAGATTCTGGTGCTGATTTTTGTTGTATTAGTCATGATTTAGTTAAGCATTTAAATGTAAAAGAAATTGCTTTAAATTCTAAGGATAAGACCCATATTATTACTGCAAGTGGAAATTCTGTTAAAATTCATTGTAAAACTTATTTAACTGTTACTATTAACAATTGTACTGTTCAAGTATTATTTTATGTCATTCCAGATTTGCAACCCATGATTATATTAGGTATAGATTTTTTGCAAGAGAATAATGTTACTCTAGATTTTGGAAAGAAGTCATTATCTATTGATCCAAGACGTTCTTTAGCATGTACTCAGGATATTATTGTTCCTCCAAAATCACAAGTTATTTCAATCGCTCGCATTCATGGTGCATCAATTCCAGACGGTGTAACGGGTATTGTTACAGGTTCCGAAAAATTAGCTTCTTCAAGTATTTTATCTGCAAAATCGTTATGTTATGTTTCTAATGGTAATGTTTATCAATCTCTTTGTAATTTTTCAAATGAGCAAGTTTCAATTAGTAAGGATACTATTGTAGGTAAATTTGTATGTTTATCACGTCATGACAAAGTATTGTCTATTCAAGATTCAGACAAACATGTATTAGACAATGACTTGAATAATTCTGTTAAGACTAATATTTCTGACAACTTGACCGATACTCAACGAAAAGAAGTACAGACACTTATAGACAATTATTCTTCAGTATTTGTTGGAAAGGATGGAATATTAGGAAAATGTGAACTTCTTCAACATGAAATTGAGATTGAGCCTTCTCAAAAACCTATTCGTCAACGTGCTTATAAACTTTGTAACAAACAAAAAGAAGTTATGGAAGGAGTTGTTCGTGATCTTCTTGATAAAGATATTATTGAAGAATCTGTCTCTCCATGGGCAGCACCTTGTCTATTAATAGCCAAACGTAATAGTAAATCCTATCGTTTTGTTTGTGACTTTCGTAAGTTGAATCAATGTATTGTTCTTGATGCACACCCTATACCCACTACTGAAGATGCTCTCGAATCTATAGGTACAGCGAATCCATGTTATTTTACAACTTTAGATCTTCAAAGTGGATTTCACCAAGTTTCTATTGCTCCTTCATCCAGATCCTATACTGCATGGAGATGCCATCTTGGTTTGTATCAATACAAGCGACTACCTATGGGATTGAAAAACAGCCCAGCCACATTTCAACGTGTAATGGAAGCTGTATTACGAGGTCTTTCATGGAAACAGTGTTTAGTTTACCTCGATGACGTAATAATTTTTAGCACAACATTCTCTGAACATTTAGTGCACATACGAGAAGTGTTTGATCGTCTAAAATCTGCTAACTTAAAGTTGCATGCGCAGAAGTGTAATTTTGGACATTCTGAAATTTCATATTTAGGTCATGTAGTTAGTTCTAAAGGTATTTCCCCTGACCCTAAGAAAGTAAGTGCTGTATCTAATTATCCAGTGCCTAAAACTTTGAAAGATTTGAAGGACTATCAGGATATTATCGCAAGTTTATTGAAGGTTATGCTCGAATCGCAGCTCCGCTTTACCAATTAACAGCAAAAGGTGTAGAATTTGTTTGGTCTGAAGATAGTCAGTCTGCATTCGATGAACTAAAACAGAAACTTGTAACTACTCCAATTCTTGGATACCCTCGTGGAGATGAGAAATTTTCTTTGTATACAGATGCAAGTAATTTCGCTGTAGGTGGTGTTCTATGTCAAACCCAAAATGGTGAACTCTCTCAACAAAGCAGAAAAACAATATGGTATTACTGAAAAGGAATGTTTAGCTCTAGTATATTGTATAAAACGTTTAGACTCGTATCTTCGATATTCGACATTTGATGCAATTGTAGATCATTCAGCTTTAAAGTGGTTACTTGATATTAAAAACCCTACAGGAAAATTTGCTAGATGGATCGCAGTTATACAATCTTACAATTTTACCATAAGATATCGTCCAGGTCATGTTCACTGTAATGCAGATGCTGTTAGTCGACGTACTTATGATGATAGTGACACTACAGAAGACAATTATCTTGACATGTTACCATGTTATGATGTACCCTCAATATCGGATGAATTTCCAAATGTAAACATTGCTGCTGTCAAATCTAAGTCAAAAGTGAAAATTCCTTCAAAAGCAACTTTGGAAAGTGCTGATAATGTAAATCTCTATGAACTATGGACTAAAGACTCTTTATGTAAGTCTCAAAGAGAAGATTCAAAGTTTTCTGACTTAATTATATACTTAGAAACTCAGAAGTTGCCTTCAAACCCAAAATATAGAAAAGATTTATTAAATATTGCCTCGGATTATTTTTTGAGAAATGACATTTTATACCATGTTTCGTATTATAAAGGTAAAGGTCACCGAAGTGAACGAGTGAATGTTCAGATTGTTGTTCCTCAAAATTTAGTTCCAACTGTACTTAACTTTACTCACGATGATTCATTACCTGGAGGACACTTTGGAATTAATCGTACTATTCAAAAGACTCGTCAGTTATTTTATTGGCCATGTATGTATACGGATATTGTTAAATATGTACAATCCTGTGAAAGATGTTGTCAACGTAAAGCTCCTTCTAAAAGTACAAGAGCTTTGATACAACCAATGCCAGTTGCTAGTCATCCATTTCAACGTGTTAGTACAGATATTCTAGGACCACTACCAAAATGTCAAACTACCAATAATCAATTTCAAAATATGTAGAACTTATTGCGTTACCAAATATTAAAGCTGCAACAGTTGCTACAGAATTTATTCGAAATATTGTTTGTCGTCATGGTATTCCAGAATATCTTCACTCAGATCGTGGAACCAATTACTTAAGTAACATTGTGAAAGAAACCTGTAAGCATTCTCAAAGGAGTAATAATACTTTCAAATTTCCTAAATAAAACGACGTATTCCTTATCAAAACTGAAAAAACCCCATTAATAATTTCGCACAAAAAGCAAGTCCCAAAAATTTAAAACCCAAGAATTAAACTGAAAAACTGAAAATGTCCAGGAATAATTTTGCACGAAAAGTCCCAAAATTTAAAACACTCAAACAACAAGCTACCATCCTAGTTGTAATGGTCAAAGTGAAAGAACAATGAGTACTATATTAAACACTTTGGCCAAATATTTGGATGGTACTCAGTGGGATAATTTTATACCGTATATTCAATTTGTTTATAATAATACACCAAACTTAGATAGTACAGAATATACACCATTCTTCTTAGTTCATGGAAGATATCCTAAAACATTCTTAGATATAACTATTCCTCAACTTGATATGCCAAAATCTGCTGAATCATATGTTATTCAATTGTTAGATCAACTAGAACTTGCAAGACAGATTTGTGCTAAGAATCTTGAGCAAAGAAAGACAAAAATGTGTGAAAAGACTTCTACAAAGCAATTTACTCCTTTATTTACTGTTGGAGATACTGTATTTCTCTACAAACCAGTGCTAAAATCAGGTCAAAGTAAAAAAAATTATCAAGCCCTTGGCATGGACCATATTATATTGTTCAGAAACTATCTGATATTCATGTTAAACTACGCAGAAAATCTGATGGACATGCTGTGCGTAATATTGTGCATATTAATCGACTTAAGAAAGGACTTGTTCGACCTAATGTGAATTATAAACCTGATAATATAGACAATGTTGAATCTGTTATATTAGACGATGATGAAATTGCTATTTCAGATGACTTCATTGACTCACAAGTTAACGGTGACTCTACTGATAATGACAAAACTCACGATATTGACAATAATAATGACAATGTTACTGACAAAGTGAAATCGAAACATACTAAATCTATTGTGTCTAAGACTAATGACATTGACAAAGTTTATGAGATTGAGAAAATTTTAAGAAAAAAGTATCTTAATAAGATATGGTATTATAGAGTTAAGTGGTTGAATTATAATGCTAGTCAAAATTCTTGGATTCCTTATAATGATCTTACAGAATCTTGTAAAAAATTTGTTAATGATAATCACAATAAGATTCCATACTAGTTTATTACTTTACATTGTGAAGAAATGTTTGTTGTTAATTCATATTCTTGATTTGAATTATTATTTTGAAAACTGAATTAGTTTTACTACTTTATTTCATTTATTTGAAACTTGGTTATATGTATATGTTCAATATTGCTCTTATTATGGTATTCTTTATCACTTCTTAAAAATGTACTGTTTATGTCACTTTCAGAATATAACTACTTATGAATCGCCCATTGGATACACATTGTGTCAAAAAATATTGCAATCATGTATTATTATATATGTATTGATAAAGTCAAATGTCTTTCAAATGCATTGGCAAAGGATAGTCACAGGAATTATTATAGGTTAATGCATCTGCTTACATAATATACTATTGTTCAGGCATAACTTACTGTATTATTTCCTAGTTCTTTATCAATTTGTATTTAGATCTCAGTCATTTATTCTTTACATTTATTGTATCTGCACTTATTAACTCCTATATGTTTTAAAATTCGGTGGAACTCATGTTTCTCTCGGGGGGAGGGGGGGGTTATATGGAATAGGTCTATCCATATCGGTTAATTGTGGTCTATAAATGTTATTGTATTGAAGGGAAGTAACCCAATTATTGTTTTAGTTTATTAGCCAATCAGTGATTTGCTCAATTGTAGCTACCCCTGTGGAGATTAATAAAATGTCTACATAAAAATGACCACGTTTTCTTTTAAATCGACGAATATCCCAATTTGTCAAGAGGTGGCTGTAATATTGTTCGCCTCAGATGGTGAATTATACGCCACACTATAGAAGGCCCAATTCTTGGCGGATTTTGACGAAACCTTGTGTTAGTGTTCGCAATCAACAAAGGATGAACCCTATGGAAAATCAGAAAAGTCGAAAAATATTGAGTATGAGTTATTGCCCTTGTTCTTGAAAACGCGTTCAATTTTTAGTTCGTAAACACTCTAGAAGGCACAATTCTTGGTGTGAGTGTTTGTTATAGCCCAAGCATGAACCCTATTGAAAATCAGAAAAATCAAAAAGTATTTAGTAAGAGTTCCTGCCCGTTCTTCAAAACGAGTTCAATTTTTATCTTATGAATACTCAAGAAGGCACAATTCTTGACGAATTTTGAGGAAACTTGGTGTGAGTGTTCGTTATCATCCAATGTTAACACAGTTGCCTGTTGCGAAACATTAAAACTATCACTTGTTATGACTTCCATTAGCCTACTGAACCTATAGTTTTGTACGATGCTATGATTCAGTTCTTGTGCTTTCAATCATGTCTGTAGTGCTTCAGTGGTTGAATGTTCAAATTGTACTAGGTAGTTTTCAATTTCAGCAGTTATGCTTCAGTTTTAATACGCCCACATAGAAATGTGAACCTATATTGCCGTCGGTCCGTCATCATTTCTTGTGAACACAATAGACACAATAGACTACAGCTTTCAGCTGATTTTAATGCAAGTTTGAATTTGACGATCTTTCGATGAACGGTTTTTGAGCCCTTGACTTAGGAAAATCATGTCAAAATTTGTTTATGAACACATTAGAGACTATGTTTTCAATTGATTTAAATGAAACATGGTGTGATCTTGTATATTGATGAAATAATTTGATGTATTTAATTTCGGGGAAGGGAGGGTTTGATTCTCCCAAATGTACAGGCCTAGGGTGGAGCAGACACTTTAATTAGAAATTAAGATCAAGGGTCTTCATATTGGGTTTTCTTCGGTTCTGATTCTGATCTGAAATTAGAAAAAATAACTAGAGAAGTATGGTATCTATTATATACTGATTGTTTTTAGCTTACTATGAACAATATTATGATTTAGGTTTCTTATTTTTTGAATATGCAACTATCATTTTCTGCTTATAGACATAGGGAAATGTCTCTTGAAGGCTCTTATAGTGGGCATGAACTATCTTGCTTGCTCGATTGCTGGTTGTATTGAACGGGACAACAAAGGGTGCTATGCCTACATTAAGATGAATATTTAATCCTATAGGTCTTGCTGTATTCAATGTCTCAATCCAATTGGATTCCCTAGATTGACTGAATTTGGTAGTTTCATCTTCGGGCAAGTCAATTTTTATGCGCTCAATTGGGAGGTTGATGTCTATTGAATGGTCGTCGAGGTTGAAATGATTTGAAACAGGCTTGATTTGATATCCGACTTATGCGCATTAAAACGAGTTCGTAAATTATTCTTAGTTTCTCCTACATATTGTTTGGGGCATTTGCTTGCATGAAATTAAATATATTACATTCGAATGTTCACATGTTAGATGTTCCTGGATCGGGTACCTTTTATTCGTAAAGTTGATTACAAAATAATGAGTTTCTGATATAAAGGGACATGTTTTGCATCTAGTGGACAAACATAGAGCACTCCTTAAATCTGGTGGTACTTCGACATAAAGCCTGCTATCTGTGCTAAGGTGGAATTTTTTATGTTTCGTAAAAATCGTTTAGTGTGCCCACGCTCTTTCAGTTTTGAGAAAACAATCGTACAGGCTTGGTTGAAATCAGAAGATCTTGTGCAAATTCGATGAAATCGTAAAACTTGTGACTTAATTATACCAGAAAAGGGGTATGCTTTGGGTGAAAGGAGCTCTTGTGCAAGAGTTGATGAGAATCAGTTTCTTTAAAATACACTTTAATATCCAGTTTATTTGTTTCTGTTATGGAATCTCCCTTAAAGACAGTGGTATCGTGAAAGTCTATGCTTTTGTCACTCACGTTTGCGGTTAGTTTGATGGAAGGACGGTGGTTATTGAGAATTTCAAAGAATTCCCGAAACTGTTCGATATAATAAGTCCGAACCATAAAAATGTCATTAAAAAAGCGTCCGTTAAAAAGTGGGTCAAATGGACAGAGTGGCAATACCTCGCGTTCCCACTCTGCCATGAAAAGGTTTGCGTAAGAAGGGGCGAATCGTTTGTCCATAGCTGTCCCTGAAGTTTATAAATATGTTTTACCATTAAATGTGAAATCGTTTCAACTAAGACAAATCTCTTAAAAGCTGTAGGATTGCATCGTTGGGTCTGTTTGGATCTGGGTTTCTATTAAAGTTTTACGAAATGCCGTTAAACCAGTAGTGTTATCGATATTGGTATACATAGAAGAAACGTCGATACAAATTAAAATAGCATTAGAGATAACTCGAAGATTTTTTATTTTATTGACAAAATCGGTTTTGGCTTTAAGGTAGGCGCGATGTTGACATGCTAGATGTAGTTAGAAATGATCAATGTATTCTGACACTGCATACGGCTCACTACCACAGTCAGGTATAATCGGGTGGCCTTTAGGGATTTTATTCGATAACCCACTCCTTGGTTGGATTCTTATGGATTTTCGGCAAAGTGTACAAATGTCTCTCACGACAATCAGGTTTGGCAGACAGATAGTCATATTGTTTCTGTTTGAGATAACTAGTTTTGACTAAATCGGTAAGAATATTGTTAATCATATTAGCAGTTTCTTTGAAAATTGGTTTCGGTAAAATGGCATAATGTTTAGGATAATTCAGTTGATTCTCTGCTTTTGAAACGAAATCCTCCCTATTCAGAATGACACAACATGAACCTTTGTCACTCTTTTTAATAACAATGCTATCGTATTGATTGAATGCTGAAGAGGTGTGAGAATTTTGCGGCTCAAGTTACCTACAGTTTTGCCCAGCGGTGGCCTCTCAGTATTTTTATCCCTAGTGACTAGTTTAAAGACTTACTCAATGCTTGAAGATGGTGTATCCAAAACAAATAAATGCTGTTTGCTGTTTCTGGAGACCAATGAAGATTATCAACTGGTTCGAATTCTTCTTCGTAGGGTGGTAAGATTGATGCGCTGTTGATATTGGAGTCCATCATCATGTTATTGAAGGTGCTGAGGTTCTGTTGCGCTTTCTTGGAGATTTTATTTGAGATGGGTATACATGTGAAGAAGGTTTTATTGGCTGTAGCGATTAATTTTTGGGCTTGGTTAAATGAGGTCTTTGGTAGCTGATCACGGTTGTTGAGGCCTACATGAAGAATAACGGTAGTAGGTTTTGGATCATGGTCGTATGATTCCAGGATTGACTGTATGTGATGGATTTAGGCACCGGGGTAAGA